AAGCCTGTTGGAATGAACTGAAAAGAGGAGAGCCGCCTTTGCTCACAGTTTCCCCCTGCAGGGAGAAAGGAAATGGGATGATAGCTGGAAGGCTGTGCTAAGTCAAAGCATGTTTTTGAAAAATGAGAGAAATTAAAAAATGTTTGTCTGCTGATGTGAGGGATTCAGGAGAGAGGGAGAAACTGATGATGCAGTGGAGAAACGGAAGAATTACAGGGAAAGTACATAAGTCAAGGACATGGAGGACAGGTGGAGGAGTTGGCTGTAAGAATAGACATGTGATTCCATTTCAGAAGCAGAGAAGGCAGATTTCTCAAGACCATGTATTGAAGAGACTATCCTTTCTCTACATATGTTCTTGGAACCTTTGTTGAAAATCACTCGACCATAAATGCAAGGGTTTATCACTGGATTTTCTGTTCTCTTCCATTGTTTGATGTGCCTGTTTTTATGCAGTACCATACTATTTTGATTACTTTAGCTTTGTAATGTATTTTGAAATCAAATAATGTGATGCCTTTAGCATTGTTCTTTTTGCACAAGATTGCCTTCATTGTTTGGGGTCTAAAAAAGAAAGAAATTTTGTCATTTGTGACAAAATCGATGAACCTGGAGGACATTATGCTAAATGAAATAAGCCAGGTACTGAAAGACAAATACTGCATAATCTCACTTATATGTCGACTATTAAAAAATAGAACTCATAGAAGCAGAGAGCAGAATGATGATTGCAAGGGGCTGAGGGTAGGGGACAGATAAAGGAGAGCTGTTGTTCAATGGGCACAAAGTTTTGGTGAGACAGGAAGGCTAAGTTCTGGAGAGCTATTGTACAGCATGATGACTATAGTTAATAATAATATATGGTATATTTGAAAATTGCCAAGAGATTAGATTTTAAATGTTCTAATCACAAAAAAAGATAAATGTGTGAGGTGCCAGATATACTAATTAGTTTGATTTAATCATTCTACCATATATGATATATATATCAAATCATCACATTTTATAGCATAAATATATATAATTTTTATTTTCCAAATATACCTTAATGTTTAAGAAACAGAGAAGGCAGAGTCTATGGGTTCTAGAAGGTTGGCAATTTGGAGTTGGTTCTAGACCATGTGCTTTTTTTTTTTCTTACTGGAATATGAGGTGAGGTCAGCAGCTGAGGTGGTGGGAGGAGTCATGAGTTTGGCAAGAGTAACTTCAGAGAACTGAAAGGTTAATTTACTAGAAAATGGTCAGATTGCTGGGCAATCCTATGCTGAGTTCCAAACATCCATTTGCAGTCAACATCGTCGAGTGATGTTTTTTTCTCCAGCATCTTTCAGCTTCTCAGGTGCAAGTACAGAGTAGAGGGATAGTTGAGTTTAGACATGATTGGTTCTGTTATGGCTATTTTACAGATGAAGGGACTAGGGTTCAGAGAATTAAGTAACTTGCTAGTAATTGACAGAGTTTGCACATAAATCTTCTCTGACCCTCAACTCCAAGCTCTTGAGCACTATGTCATACTTCAGAGCTGTTCTTAAGATCATGGACTAATAAGTGTAGATTCTGCAAACTTCTATCCCTTCCCCTAGTGGCGAGCAGGTGAATATGTAATACTGTAATTTGCATCTCAACTCCCCCCCCCACCCCAGCCCACTGGCATTATCCAAAAAGGGAATCTCAGCTAGTTACCAAATCCCAGCCTTGGGAATCACAAAGCAATATTGTTCATTGAAGATATGCTCATGGGATAGAAAAAGTATCACTGAGTTTGATCACCATCTCTCCTGCCTGCTGGCCATGTGACTTGCAGCATGGTTGTAAGAATCTGTTCAGCATTAACTGAGCACCTATGGTATGCCAAGCAGTACGGAAGATGCTGAGGAGATATTGATGAAACTGAATTTTGTCCTCCTAAGAATTACAGTCCAGGGAATTCAGTGAGATAATATATGCACAATGTTGTGTCCAACACAGGGTGGGCACTTAATAGGTGTTAATTCTCTTTGCCTTCTTTATCCATTTGTCCTCAAGTACCTGGTGACACCTCTTGGTGAAAATATCAACACTCACTGAGATACTAAATGAGGGTCCCACTCGTATGTAAATATCCAATGATGTTAATATTTAAAAATTAGTTCCCATCCACTGAATCAGAATCTCAGCAACTTTGAGTGAAGGCAGGACCCTTACTGAGTTGAGTCTTCCTCTACTCATAAAAATATACCATATATAACTTTTTTCCTGAAGCTATTGGAATGAATACAAATTAGCATGATTGTCCACTGGCAATACTAGAATAATCTCCCTAGGGCATGCTGTTTTCTGGCTGGAAGTTATTTTATTCTGTTGAAATGTAATTTTTTTAAATGAAAGGGGCATTTGCTTTTCCTATATTATTTGCTTTCAAAAAGCAATGAGAATTCTTTAAACATGGCAAATTAACCACTGGTGAATCTTAAATTTTACCTTCTCAATGATGCATGTTTTGATTCACTAGTCAATATTTATTTCTAAGCCTTCAGATCTCAAAAAGGTTTACATGGTACCTGAGTTAGTGCATCTCAAGTAACCAACCCCTGGGAAGGTGTTTTATTTCTGTAACGCAAATGAGGCTGGATTTTGTGCTCCTGGAGGGGAGATGTTTGTCTTTTATCTCTATATTGGGGTACCTATTACAGGAAAGAGTATTAAATGAATAAAGGAATGGACCCACAGTGGGGAAAAGGAGCTTGCTTGATATCAATGTTTTTGAATTTATTACCAGGAATCTCACTTTCTAAAATTGCTAGCACCGTTAAAGTTTCTGACAGTGAAACAAGCCATTGGAACACATTTGTGATGTGAATATTAGGTGTATTATTATGCACTCAATTTAACTTTTTTATTTTATATAATTTATCTCCAAGTCGAGATCATGTTCTAGGTAAATGAACAAGAAATTAAGCAGTGTGGAGACGTATAGGTTAGACTCAACTTCCGCTAATGGAGAAGAATGACTTTGGATAACTATTGGCTCCAGTTTCATTTGGGGATCAGGGATTGGATTGGAATTTGTAAATCTAATTGTTGTCTCTCTGTAAAATTGGGAGACCCTCAGGGTTGAGAGCAGATTTTCCTCTTTTGCATCTATTTCAGCACCTAGCCCATTGCATTGTAAATGCTTAATAAATACTAGATGAATTAAAAGTTAAGTATTCTATGTATTCTTTAGAGAAAGATACACGGACATTTTTGCCAACAGCAAAAATGAAGGCAGTAACCATTTCTGGTTTATCTTGTATTCCTAGCATCAGGCAAAATGGTAGGGACATGGTAGGCATCCAACAACTGTTAATTGGCTCCTCCAATCCCCCTTTTTTGTCATCCTTCCACGGAAATTTATTGAATGCCTTCTAAGTATCAGACAAGTGGTTTATATTAATGAAAGAACACAGTCCAGAGGAGCAGTTTTATTTGTATAGGCAATTACAAAGTAATGGGACACAGGTTATAATAGAAGAATGTAAAATTTCACTGAAGTTCACAGGGAGGAGAACCTCATCTGCTGGGGAGTTGGGGAAGGCACTCCAGGATGATGAGGGTTGAGCTATTGAAGGAGGAATGGAATTTGTCAAAGCCTGTCTAATACCAGGCTTTGAGGGTATTAGAACACACTCCAGTTAGAGAGGATGGCACACACGTGTTCTTGGAGCTGTGTTACAGCACAGTACACATTGTAGGGGTAGTTTAGCATGGCTATAGGAAGATGTGGGTAACATAGGGGAAGGAGGTACGGACAGAATTGAGAAACAGGCATTATTCTGGGAGGTTATTAGAGGTCAGAGTTTGAAGAACATCTCAAAACAGGAAATACTGACTGGTATCTGAGCTTTTCTGGAAGGCTGAAGTTAAATTCCACAGGTCATGTCTCAGTAATAGCAGTGATAGTAATAGCAATGGCTAATATTTATTGAGTGTTTGTTAGAGACATGTGCCTTTCTAAGCATGTGATTCATTTAATCTTCATAATAACTTATAAAGTAGATATTGTCTTTATCCTCATTTGACAGATGAGGAAAGTGAAACATAGAGGTGCCTCATTCAAGGTCGCAGAGCAAGTCCAGACTTTAACTCAGAGGGTCTGGCTCCAGAATCTGTTCTTAATCACTATATTATATTACAATGCAGAGAATATAGTGTTGCAATGCTGCAAAGTTAATTTATAAAATAATAAAATCACAGCATTAGAACTTTATTCTCACTTTAAATCTAAACAGCAGCATGAATCACTGCTTCTGCCTTTCATATGTTTTTTAATGGCTTGATCATGTGTCTTCCTGATGATTTGATTACGTGAGGAGGGCAAGTTAAGGTCACTGCCACTAGGTCCTCACTGTTGTTGCCCATATGCAAGACCTCAGTAAAAGATGTCTATATGGCGAATGTAACTTTTAGCCAGGTCTTTGCACTACGAGGGTATTTAGTCTGTCTGATCTTTGAAGATATTTATGCATGGATCATTGGCTCTAAAATCCCCCTCTTTATATCCCCACAACAATGCATGTTTTTGTCTAGTGTACTCTTAGAAGGGGCCAGATTTTGTGAACATAGATGCCTGTCCTTCAGAGTTTGTTTATAGAATATGCTCCAAGCATTTGCTTCTCAAATTCTCCACTATTTGATAACAAATAAACCATAATGTAACAGGATTTTCATTTAAGTTTTTCCATTAAACCTTAGCCATGGATTGTGATGGTATCTGGTTGAGGCCAGATCTGAGTTTAGTTTTTACTCTGCTGCTGAAATTGTTGTGTGATCTTGAGCCAATCATTGTACTGTTCTCAACCTCAGTTTCCTCATCTGGAAAATGAGGGTGTTGGAGTAGATGATCAGTGAGCTTTCTCCTAACTCTTAACATTCTCTACTTGTAGAGTTTTTATAATCAAACACAATTGTGTAAAAGAGAGAAAAGCAGTTGTCATGGAAACTGTTATTTAATACATAACACTGTTTCTTTTTTTTTTTTTAAGAGAATTAAATCGTTTATTGATTACACATGATAATGGATGATACACAAGCTTCATTCCCATCTATAATTTTATCTGGTACCATTATTCAATTTAGATATATTGCATAGGATGTGCCAACAATCACTTTTATAACCAATAATTCCATGATTTTGCTTGGGTAATCCCTTTTAACAGTGAACTTCAGGTCACAACAGTAACTATCAGTTCAACTACACCAAGGTTTCCGAAGACAATGGCTTCTCCACCCAAGCAGGTTGTATATAAATTCCAAATAGAACCTGGCATCACCCTGAAGGAATTCTAACTTCACACTGTTGGGGAAGTTTACCAAGATGGCTTCAGAGTAGACTAACTTTACACAGCACATTAAAAAAAAGACATTTATTCAGCGTCACGATCAGACTATTACATTTAGCAATCAACAGCATGGGTGCAAAAAAAAAAAAAAAAAAAAAATCTACATTAAAACCCTTTGTTGGAATGTTTTACACTTTCCACAGAACAGAAACTAAAATAACCTGTTATACAATTAGTCACAAATACAGTCCTCGAGTTTTTTGCCCATACACATGAGTATTTGTCTAAAACATGTCTTCTTTGTAGCAGCTAGGCCCTGCCACCACTGTGCTTGGCTGAGTTCACAAATCTGTTGTAACCTGTAGCTTCCCTGTCACTTCTCTGGCTCTCCTCCCCTGCTAAGCTTTGTTTCCTAATTAAAATCTTCTGCCACTGCCATAGCTACTGCTGCTGCTGGAACCACCATAGCCACCTTGGTTTCGTGGTTTTGCAAAGTATTGGCCTCCACCGCCATAGGAGCCAGAGCTTCTGCCTCCAAAATTTCCTCCCTTCATGGGTCCAAAATTTGAAGACTGATTGTTGTAATTGCCAAAATCATTGTAGCTTCCACCACCTCCAAAATTGCTTCCATCATTACCAAATCCATTATAGCCATCCCCACTGCCACCACATCCACCACCACCACGGCTGCCACCAAAGCCACCACGACCACTGAAGTTTCCTCCACGACCGAAGTTGTCATTCCCACCGAAACCACCTCCACGACCACCACCAAAGTTTCCAGAACCACTTCGACCTCTTTGGCTGGGTGAAGCACTAGCCATCTCTTGCTTTGACAGGGCTTTCCTAACTTCACAGTTGTGGCCATTCACAGTATGGTATTTCTGAATGACAATCTTATCCATGGAGTCATGGTCGTCAAAGGTTACAAAGGCAAAGCCCCTTTTCTTGCCACTGCCTCGGTCAGTCATGATTTCAATCACTTCAATTTTCCCACACTGTTCAAAATAATCTCTTAGGTGATGTTCTTCAGTGTCTTCTTTAATGCCACCAACAAATATCTTTTTCACAGTTAAGTGGGCACCTGGTCTTTGAGAATCTTCTCTTGAGACAGCTGTCTTTGGTTCCACAACTCTTCCGTCCACCTTGTGTGGCCTTGCATTCATAGCTGCATCCACCTCCTCCACAGTGGCATATGTGACAAACCCAAAGCCCCTGGAACGCTTGGTGTTTGGATCTCTCATTACCACACAGTCCATGAGCGTTCCCCATTGCTCAAAATGGCTCCTCAGGCTCTCATTGGTTGTTTCAAAGCTCAGCCCTCCAATGAAGAGCTTCCTCAGCTGTTCGGGCTCTTTAGGAGACTCTGACTTAGACATGACGGCAGGGAGAAGAGAGACTTTAACGATGCTTCTTCGGCGGCGTCCACGGGCAGAAAGGAGCAAGCTGACGAATGTATCTCAACACTGTTTCTTAATCAGCCTGTTTTCCTTGAAGAAATTTGCTTCTCTTATGATGCAGGCCCAAAGGTCTCCTAATCTTGCCTTTAGAAAAGCTCAGATTTCAGTTCCATCACTTAAGAATTCAATGCATGGAACCAGTTACTTAACTCCCCTGTGCCTAAATTGCTTTATTCTTAAAGTGGTGTTGATAGGCATACTGACCTCATAATGTGGAGCATCAGGCCTGATGCACAATAATGAAAATGTTAATGATAATAATACCAATACTGATAATATTTAAAATATCTAATGTTTATTGAGTTAGTTACTGATACTGTGTGCTAGGCATTACTAAATGTATTAACTCATAGAATCTTAAAACCAACCCTGTGGGGTAAATGTTACTATTAATCCCATAATTAGATCAAGTTACTTACTTGTACCAAGTCACACAACTTGAACGGGGTGGAACCAGAATACTTGTCGAGCTACATAGGCCAATTTCAGAGCCTACACTCTGAACCATTAACGTTTCTCAATAACAACACTGTTAATATATAATTGTGAATAACCAGCATCTTTTATGGTCTTTGCTATAGGCCCAAATCTGTTCTGTCCTATGAGGTAGGTGATATCATCATCTCTATTTTGTAGATAAGAAAACTGAGACCTCTAGAGGTTAATTAAAAACACATAGTTGGTAGTATTGGAAGCAGGACTTGAACTCTTGCAGTCTGGCTCCTAAGTCCATGTTTTTAACCACGATATCTCAGTATGAGCTATTATTACCCTATATCCAGTTCAGTTTTGTCTCCATGAATGATGTAAGATGATTATAGCTCCACCCACTAGATGATGTGAGCCTTTGGCAATCTTCTGGAACTCTGTGTTTTGTTTTGTTTTGTTTTGTTTCTGTTTTTGAGTCGGAGTCTCTCTCTGTCCCCCAGGCTAGAGTGCAGTGGCATGATCTTGGCTGTCTGCAACCTCTGCCTCCTGGGTTCAAGCAGTTCTCCCTTACTCAGCCTCCTGAGTAGCTGGGATTACAGGCGCCCACCACCACACCTGGCTAATTTTTGTATTTTTTAGTAGAGACGAGGTTTCTCCATGTTGATCAGGCTGGTCTTGAACTCCTGACCTCAGGTGATCTGTCCGTCTTGGCCTTCCAAATTGCTGGGATTACAGGTGTGAGCCACCGCACCCGGCTGGAGCTCTGTTTATGCTCTTTGTTGATCCCTGTTGTGTGCCTAACCGCCACATTCATTTATGGAAAAGCCAAGCTGCTACACAAGTATTTTGCCATGTCTTGCAAAATAAAGCAAGAGGAGATAAGTACAAAAGTCTTTGAATTTCAGGCTAGTAAGGTCTAAAATTTCACACAACAAATACAGTCTGTAAAACATTTGAGAGAGAGTTTACTTCAGTAGCTCCAATATCTGAGCAATGTTTTCCAAATACCTTAGCACCTACTGATCTAAGAGTGAGGTAGGAGAACTTCCGTAAACATCAGTTAATATTTTCAGCCTTAAGGGCCATAAGGTCTCTGTCATGACTATTTAACTCTGTTATAGTGCAAAAGCAGCCATAGATGATAGTAAACCAATGTATCTGTGTTTCAATAGAACTTTATTTACAAAAACAGATGGTGGCCCAGATGGCCCAGGAGCCATTGCTTACTGACCTCTAGTCTGAGAGACAGATAGCCTACTGATAAAGTATTTAATGTCCATGAATTTTGGGATCAGTGGCCTCTTGTAGGTAAATTAAAACAATAGTAATATCATGTTTATTTTCTCCTTCCCTCCTCATTTTTAATGAGACCTGATCTTGCTGTTCCACATTTACTAAATTAGGTACTGGCAAAATGTGATAGTGTAGGCTTACACTATTCACATTGCTATCTGCTGCTTGACTCAATATATTGAAATTGGACTTTAAGGACAGACTTTCAGCAGTAGGAAGCAATGGTGACAAAACAACTTTTAAAAAAGATCATATGGAATGACAATGTGGATATGTGCCTTGTTTTGAGCTATCTCAAATCCTTTTGCTAAATAAGTACAGGGTAAATTATTTTAAATAGGGAAAATGGAACACAATTTTTAAATATTTTAAGGCATTTCAAATGGCCCTTAAAATACAACAGTTGTCCTCTAGAGGGATTTTCATTTATTATTAACCGTGTCAGAAATGTAATTAAGTCAGTGCTGAAATTAGTCAAGATAAACTTTATAACTCAAATCACATAAATAACGTATATGGGTTCTATGAATTAATCATTGTAAATTTGATTAAAAAGTTACATTTCAAAGTTCATGCAATTTAATGTCATGTTGTTTCTGTTTTTCAAACATTTGTTAAACCAGCTGTTTATAGAGGCACATTGTATGGCTAAAGATCTAATTGCACCATTATTAGCATAGAACTGTAGTCAGTAAATAATTAGTGGCTTGCATTCTGGAGTTTTGATAAATTTTTAGACTTCTCTAAATTAACATTTGTCTTATGGTCAGTTAAGGAAATTAAATATCGATTAAGGAAATTGAGACAGGGCCAGCTTCACAGTCTCCCTCCTCCACAGGGCCCCCTATGACCACTGCCTTGGAGGCTGTGCTGACTCTGGGGAAGGCCTATCAGTAGCTGTGACCTGGGTTAAGCTGAGGGACCAGGGGCATTTTTGAGAATATTGATTAGATTAAGTAGACGTGGGGACCTGTATTCGTTTTTTATTGCCTCTGTAACAAATGACCAAACAGTGCCTTAAAATGTCACCAATTTATCTTATATTTCTGTAAGTTAGGTGACTGGTGCAGGTCTCACTGGGCCAAAATCAAGGTGCTAGCTGGGCTGTGTTCCTTCTGTCTTTCTGGAGACTCTGGAGGAGAATCTGTTTTATGGCCTTTGTTTTGTGGGATGGAATCTCTCTCTGTTGCCCAGGCTGGAGTGCAGTGGCGCGATCTCGGCTCACTGTAATCTCTGCCTCCCGTGTTCAAGCGATTCTCCCACCTCAGCCTCCCGAGTAGCTGGGATTACAGGCACACGCAACTATGTCCAGCTAATTTTAGTATTTTTAGTAGGGATGGGGTTTCACCATGTTGGCCAGGCTGGTCTTGAACTCCTGACCTCAGGTGATCTGCCCGCCTTGACCTCCCAAAGTACTGGGATTACAGGCGTGAGCCCCCACGCCCAGCCTCAGTACCTTTTCTAGCTTCTAGAGCTGCCACATCCCTAGACTCATGGTCCGTCTTTCATGTTTGAAGCCAGCAACATAACGTCTCTCTGATCCAAGCCACCAAAGGTTCTCTGCTTTTGAGATCTCATGTGATTAGATTGCCCCCCTTCCTTTTGGATATCCCAGGATATCCAAATGGATATCTCCATTTCAAAGTCCTTCATCAAATCTGCAAAGTCCCTGTTAGTCCCATGTAAGGTGACATATTCACAGGTTCCAGAGATGAAGAGTTGGACATTTTAGCAGAGCCTGTCTACCACACAACCAAAATTCAGTATTGGATTCACTGTCGGCACTTCCTCTGTTTACCAGCCCATCTTTTTATTTTTCAGCTTCTTGTGTCCTGACACCCATTTCTGTCTCAGTCCACTTTAAACTTTGTTCTTCTCAGTTCTCAATTTCTCTGACCTTCCTTTAGCACTCAGTCCAGTGGACTGCCTTCTCCTGCTGAGAGCGGTATTGCTGGCCAGGCTGCCTGGGTTCAAAGCTAGGCTGTGCCTCATAAATGTGACCTTTGGTAAGTTATTCACTATCTCTGTAACTCAATTTTCTCATCTGTAAAAGGAGGATAAAGAATGTGCCTGGACTACATATGATTTATATAGTGATTCCATGAATTAATATATTCATCACTCTTAGAACAGTGCCTGAGACATAGTAAACCATCAGTACATGCTAACCATTGTTGCTGTGAATTTGGTTACTCTCCTTTTGGTTGCTGGTAGAAATTCTCTCAAGATTTTATCTGTGATTTCTTGTCTCTTCTTCAGAAGTTACACCATCTCTCAAAGCTTTAGCATTCATCCGTAGGCGAAGAACTCCAGCTGGATGCATTTCCAAGCTCTATACCTTTATTTCTGGCAATACCAGGTGAATATTTTTGTTTGGATGTCCCAGGGGAGCCACAAAGCTGAACTTAACATCTTGCCTACCGAAATATTGCATCCGTGTTCTTATTTCTATTACTGTCTTTAGATCCAAAGTCAATTTTTATTCTTTCCCTCTCATTTACTACCAAACATCAAAAAAGTTATCAAATACTAAAGAATCTACTTTCAAACTATCTTTTAATCTATTTGTGTCCCCACTTCCACTGCTCTGATCCAGGTTTCTATGGCCGTTACCCTGATTTGTTGCCCCAGTTGAAGTAGAACAGTATTCTTAAACCTTTGCTCTGATTATGCAACCCCCACCACTGGACCCGCCCCTCCCTTCCACCTTACTCCCACATCTTAAGTGATTCTCCGCTGTCTTAGCCTGGAGACTACATCCAGGGTAGCATATAAGTGAGTTTTCTTCAGGAATTCCCTAAAAATTTAAAAATTTCATACAAAAGTATGTTGTCAAGATCGTTGCTTTCAGTCTTAATAGCCAGTTACTGCTCACGCATCTTAAACATGCTTGAAACAGGACATCTTTTCCTTTCGTGAATGAGCTTTGTTCTTTCATACCTGAACCTTCACCACGGGGGGCATGCTCTTCTCCTCCATCTCTGCCTATGAGAAATTTACCCAGCAATGAGGCTTAGTGACAGTACCCACCCCTCTCTTTGTGAAGCCTTCCCTGGTAGCCTTTCCCCGAACCCTGTAAGCCAGAGGTCAGCAAACTACAACCCACAGGCCAAATCCAGCCCATTGCTTAGTTTTATAAGTTTTATTAGAACTCAATCACACTCATTCATTTATGTATTGTCTATGGCTGCTTTTGGGTCTGCAATAGCAGAGTTGAGTAGCTGCAACAGAGACCATATGGCCCACAAAGCCCAAAATAAATTATGCTCTGGCT